CCCTCCGGCCCCCCACCTTACGTTTCTCATCCGATCGGGGATCATCGGGATCTTTTCACTACCGTTGCTTTTGGCATCCTGAGGCCCGAATCAAGAACACGTCTCATGTGGGACCCCTCCATCAGGGACCCCCACTTTCTGTTTCTATGGATGGGTACTCCCAATCCTGTCGTTGTCGTCACTCTTGGACTTCTGAGGTCTGAGTGTTGAGGAGGTCTCGCGCGGGAGCTTCGTCGGTGAGTGAATTGCGAAGAAGCCTCGGGTGGGAACCTCTCCGTCAGAGGTCCCCACCTTCTCGAAGACGCCTACGGCGAATCACCGCCGCTCCCTGCTTCCTAGAATCGCCCATGTGGCCGAGCGTTGTGGCAAGAGCTCCGCCAAGCCATCGGACCATGTGTTCCCCCAACAGTTGCGGAAACCCTTCGGGGAACACTTGGGGGAGGATGGCAGGGAATCTCAGGAGGAGGCGGAGGAGGGGGTGGAGGGGGAGGAGGAGGAGGAGGAGGAGGAGGAGGAGGAGGAGGAGGAGGAGGAGGAGGAGGAGGAGAGGAGGAGGAGGAGGAGGAGGAGGAGAAGGAGAAGGAGGAGGAGGAGGAGGAGGAGGAGGAGGAGGAGGAGGAGGAGGAGGAGGAGGAGGAGGAGGAGGAGGAGGAAGAGGAGAGGGCGTCTTGGGAGCCTCTGGGGACACTCTTGGGGCCTCCTGGGAGCTTCCTGGGAGCCTCTTGAATGCATCTTGGGGGCATCCTGTGGCCTTTGGGGACTGCTCGGGGGCCTCTTTGGCCGTCTTGGTGGGTTCATGGCCCGTCTGACGCTGTCTGAAGCCGTCTTGGGGGCCTCTCTGGGCCGACTTGGGGGCCTCTTGGGGTGCTCCAAGGCGTCTTGGAGGCCATCTTGGGCGTCTTAGAGGCCGCTTGGGCCGTCTTGGGGCCAACTTGGACCCATCTCGGGGGCCTCTTGGTCCGTTCTGGGGCGATCTTGGGAGCCTCTTGGGCGATCTTGGGGCGATCTTTGGGGGCTCTTCGGCCGTCTCGGACCGTCGGAAGACAGAAAAAAAGCAATTGCCCAAATCCTTCAAACACGTACGGACAATCCATGATGCTGGCCTCTTCGGGCCTTCGTGGAGGCTCTCGAGGAGGCCTCTGGGGCCGTCTTGGGCCATGTTCGGGTCATCTTCGGCCGTCTGGGTGGCCACTTGGCCCGTCAGACGCCGTCGGAAGCCGTATTGGGGGCTTCCCTAGGCCGATTTGGGGCCCTCTTGGGGTGCTCCAGGGCAGTCTTGGAGGCCATCTTGGGCGTCTTAGAGGCCTCTTGGGCCGTCTTTGGGCCCTCTTGGGGCCGTCTTGGGGGCCTCGTGGGCCGTTCTGGGGCCATCCTGGAGAAGGCCGGAAAAACAGCAACTGCCCAAATCCTCCAAACACCTAAGGAACATCAATGATTTTGGTCTCTTTGGGCCTTCCTGGAGGCTTGGAGGCCTCTTGGGCCATCTTGGGCAATCTTAGAGCCATCTTGGGCCGTCTAGGTGGGTTCCTGGCCCGTCAGACGCCGTCGGAAGCCGTCTTGGGGGCCTCTCTGGGCCGACTTGGGGCCCTCGTGGGGTGCTCCGGGGCCGTCTTGGGCCGTCTTTGGGCCCTCTTGGGGCCGTCTTGCTCTTGGGCAGTCCTGAGGCCATCTTGGAGGCCTCTTGGGCGCTCTGGGGGAGATTGTGGGGGCCTCTTGGGCGATCTTGGGCCGTCGGAAGGCCGAAAAAGAACACATACGAAAATCCTTCAAACACCAGAGGAAAATCAATGATTTTAGCTTCTTGGGGCCCTCCTGGAGGACCTCTCGGAGGCCTCTTGGGCCGTCTTGGAGGTCTCTTTTGCACCTCTTGGGCAGTCTTGGGCCGTCTTGGAGGCTTCTTGGGCGGACTTCGAAGTCTCTTGGACCCTCTTGGGCCGTCTTGAAGGCCATCTTGGAGCCATCTTGGAGGCATCTTGCAGGCCAGCTTGGGCCATCTTGGAGCCGTCTGGAGCAGGAAAAACCTTTGCAACCGGGTCTTCCGGGTCTTTCCGGGTGGCCGGCGGGACGGGCCCGAGCCCCAGGGGAGATTTTTTTGTTGGAAAAGAGCCAGGACCAAAACCGAAAGGATCTAGCGCGCCGAGCACCCCTGTGACAAGCTCAGGGGGCGGCGGATTTGATGGCCTTTGGTCCATCCCGCCACCGTGCCCGGTTGTGGGTATGAGTCCACTTGGCCTGGACGTTTGTTGGGATCTCGTGCGGTTTTTTTGGGGGGGCCTCTGTTGGGCCTCTTGGGGGCCTCCTGGGCGCCTCTTGGGGGCCTCCTGGGAGCCTCGTGGGGCCTCCTGGGCGCCTCTTGCGGCCTCCCGGGGGCCTCTTGGGGCGGAAGGCTCGGGTTTTCGGTTCGTGCTCCCTCTTTTGGGGTTCCTTTTGGGGCTGTCTTGGGGCCCTCTTGGGCCGTTTTGGGGCCCGCTTGGAGGCCTCTTCGGCCGTCTTGGGGTGGTCTTGGGGGCCTTAGGGCCGTCTGGGAGCGTCGGGAAGCCGAAACGGCGAGTACGCCAAACTCCTCCAACATCAGATGGACTATCACTGATTTTTGGCCTCTTGGGGCCTTTCATGGGAGGTCTCTTGGAGGCCTCTTAGGTCGTCTTGAAGCCTCTTGGGCCGTCTTGGGGCCATCTGGGGCGTCTTGGGGCGATCGTTCGGCGACTCGGGGCCCTCTTGGACCGTCTCGGGGGGCTCCTTGGGGCCCCCAAGGGCCCGCCTGGGGGCCCTCTCGGGCTGGAGCAGAGCCCGTGACGGCCTTCTCCAGAGCCCCGGGGGGGCACGCGGGCGACCCCCCGGGGGGGGCACGCGCCGAGCCCTGGGAGAGATGCGAGCGACGGGGCCCGGGGTCCCCGAAAAGGAGTCTTCGGGCGAGCGAGGAGCGGGGCCCCGAGGACCGGGCAAAGGGACGGCCCATCCTCTCCTGCTGGGACTATCGTTACTTCGGTGCAGCAGAACTGGAGCTTGGCTTCGCCTAAGGCGAAGCTGTTGGCTGGGCCTCCCAGCCCCCTTCAAACTTGGTAGCGGAGCTGGCCTACGGTGGTCAGCTCTTGCTCTACTCCTCACCAGACCCGAGGACGCGCCCGCGCCGTGCCCCAGCGGCGCGGCGGCGGGCGTGCCGCTCCGGGGCGGTCCTCCCGATCTCGTGCGCGTCGCACCCCTCGGGTTTGTCGGGGCCCGTGCCGTGAGGAGGTCTCGAAGGAGGCGCTTCGTATGGGAGCGATCTGCGAGGAAGGTCTCGAGCGGGAGCCCTCATGTCATTGGGTGCCTGCCTCTTGCGTGTGGTCCGGGCGGCAAGCTCAATCCTGTCGCTGTCGGCGCCCTTGGGCATCCTGAGGCCTGGATCTTGAGGAGGTCTCGCGCGGGAGCTTCGTCTGTGAGTGCATTACGGGGAAACCTCGAGCCGTAGCCTCATCGTCGGGGGCTCCCACCTTACAGTTCTCATCCGAGGGCGGTCACTGGGATCTTTGAAGTGTCGTCGCTGTTGGCATTCTGCGTTCCGACTCGTGAGCAAGTCTCGAACGGGAACCTCGTCTGTGAGTGAATAGCGAGGCAGTGTCGAGCGGGAGCCCCTCATGGGGTCCCCATCTTATGTTTCTAATCCTGGTTGGTCAGCTGAAGCCAGGTAGTACTGTCACTCTTGGTCTGCGGAGGTCTGAGTCTTGAGGAGGTCTCTCGCGTGAGCTTCGTCGGTGAGTGAATTGCGAGGAAGCCTCTGGCTGGAAGCCCTCCGTCAGGGATCCCCACCTTTCGCTTCTCATCCGAGGCGGCCATCTGCTTCGTGTAGCTGTCGCCACTTTTGGGCTCCTGAGGCTTAAGCCTTGAGGAAATCTCGAGCGGGAGCTCTGTCTGTGAGTGACTTGCGACGAAGCCTCGGGCGGGAACCTCTCCCTCAGAGGTCCCCGCCTTATGTTCCTTCTCCGACGGGGTTGTCCTGATCTTGTATCTGTCGCCACTTTCGGGGTCTTGAGGCCTGAACCGTGAGTAAGTCTCGAACGGGAGCCTCGTCTGAGAGTGAATTGCGAGGAGGTCTCGAGCGGGAGCCACTCATGGGGTCCTCACTTAATCTTTCTAATCCTGGTGGCTCAGCTCAAGCCTGGTAGTATTGTCACTCTTGGGCTGCGGAGGTCTGAGTCTTGAGGAGGTCTCGCGCGGGAGCTTCGTCGGTGAGTGAATTGCGAGGAAGCCTCTGGCTGGAAGCCCTCCGTCAGGCATCAGCGTCTTGCGCCTCTCATCCGGTGGCGGCCATCTGCTTCGTGCAGCTGTCGCCACTTTTGGGGCTCCTGAGTCTCGAGGGAAATCTCGAGCGGGAGCCTCGGGTGCCCCTGCCTGTGGTCGTCGGCCCCTCCCGTCACGCGCGCCCGGGCTGTAGGCCAGAAGCCTCTCGGATGCCCGTGCGGGTCTCTTGGGAGGCCTCTCGGAATCCTCCTGGGGCCTCGGGTTCTTTCTGGGGCCCGATTTGGGTTTCCTTGGGGACCTCGGAGGGCTTTCTGGAAGCCGCTTGAGGGTCTGCCGGCGGTCTCGGGGGTCATCTTGGGGCGGAGGGCTTGAAATGACATTCCGAGTTCCCCCCTTTGGCCGTCTTTGGGGCCTTCCGGGCCGTCTTGGGGCCATCTTGCGCCTGCTTGGGGCCTTCTTGGGGGGCTCTGGGGCGGTCTTGGGGCGATCTTTGGGGCCTTGGGCCGTCTTTGGAGCAGCGTCTGCAGCCCGAAATGGCGCGAACGCTACACTCATGCAACAACCTCATGACAATCAATGATGTTTACCTCTTGGGGCCCTCTTGGGAGGCCTCTTGCAGCCCTCTTGAAGCTTCTTGGAGGCCTCATGGGCCATCTTGAAGCAATATTGGGCGTTTCGGAGCGTTGTTGGACCGTTTGGGGGCCCTCTTGCACAGTATGCAGGGATATAGCGGAAAAGCAGAGCTACACACGCACGGACTGCTGGAAGCGTGGTGGCGGATGTTGCGGTTCAAGATCCCGAACAAGATGCACGTGATTGGTTTCCAGCAGGTGATCCTTTCTTGCCTCCTTCCCTCGTTGCTCTACAAGGCGGTGGTCGAGATGCCAGGTGCAGATGGCGGTGCGCTCTTGTTCCGCTACGCGGCGATCGCCCTGCTATTCAGCTTCTTCCTCGCGGCTTGCTTTTTCTCGGTGCTGAAGATCACGGGCTTTCCAGCCGCACTTCGCGAACAGCACACTCTGGCGATGATGTTCCCCAGCCTGGCCCCTGGGCTCACGTCCCTGCCCTTCGTCGAGGTCGTCGTCGCGAGCATCCCTCCGGGCGCCATCGGCGCTGGTCACGTGGGCCTGGCCGACCTCGGCGTGAAGGTCTTCGTGCTGTTCCTGCTCTACCTCGCCGCCGTGGCCCTGTCGAGCCGCACGGCCCGGCGAGGCGCGACGCCCCTGCGGTCCTGGCACCACGGCCGCCGGAGCGCCGCGGGTGCGGCGGACGTCGTGGACGGCAGCCTCGGCGGCAGCGGCCATGGCCTTCAGGGACGGAAACTCGCAGAAGAACAGTTGCCTGAAGCATAAACTTTTGGCGGCTGACAGACCTCCTACCCTGACACGTCGATTAGCGAATGGGCACTTTTCGGTTCGCGAGAGGGCGTCGCGGCCGTCATTTTTGCGGGTCCAGGTCCGTCGGTTTCGGCCCTGGGCAGTTTTCACTAATGGGAGGTTTGCTAAAGGGAGGTTTGTCCACCGCCGAAACTTTTGGCGCTCCGCGCGGATTTCTTGGATCCGCGCGGGGCGCCCCCGGCGGCGGCTCCGGCGCCGCCCCTGGCGCGCTCCGCGCGCCAGGGAGGGGGGTCCAGTGGAGTCCAGCGCCGATCCGAGAAATCCGCGGGGACCTCCGAGTTTTTCTGTTTGTGTTATTGTTCGTTCCTCTAAACGGTACCGATGTCGCCACCCTTCCGTCGTCCCCAGGGTTGGATTCGCGTCGGAAAACCCTGGTCCGAAGGCGCCGGGGAGTGCAGCCCAGATTTCGAAAAATGAGGAGCAGTTGGACTCGCGAGGGCCTCGTTGTTCCTTCGGTGCTTCCACGGTTGTTCCTCTAGCGCTGCTCGTGCACCCAGGCGCTTCTGGGGCCCAAACGGGGCCTGGTTCGTATTCTAAAGGCTAACGCCACATCCGCCGACTCCTTGACTTAGGTAGTTTGTGTCGTTTGTGTCGGAGGCGTGCTGGAGGTTAGCTTCGATTGTCTAGGGGCCGGGTTGGGTATCTGGGGGGCCGCTGGGTCTCATTTGGGTCAGTTCCGCATGGTTCGTGGAGTTTCGGGAGTGAATTTGGGCCACCTGCGGGCCTTTCCCCAGGTCCCCCTGCTTCGTAATTTTTGGACCCCTCTTGGGTTTATGTTTGAGTGTTTTGCCTGCGTTTCGGGGGCCATCTTGGGCGTATCTTGCGTTGCGAGGTCGCGGAGGTGGACGAGCCATGAGGTGGTCGTGGTGGTGGAACGGGGAGGTGGGCGAGGGGGGGAGAACGGGGGAAGAAACGGGAACATGCCGAGAATGAGGTGAGGAGAAATATGGAGTCGAGGAGCATGACCACAACGATGAGAGGAGGAGAAGGAGGAGGGGCGGGGCGATAAGGAGTGAAGGAAGCGAGGGATGAAGAAACGGCTGGGGAAAATTAATAATGAGGGGTAGGTGGTGGCGGGGCAGGGGAAGGGGAGGGGGAGGCAAGGGGGGGGTGAAGGATGGGGATGAACGGGAGCATGCGGTGCAGAAGGTAAAGAGAACGGGGTAGACGAAGAGCATGACCACAATGATGAGAAGGCGACGCGGGGCGATGAGGTTTGAAGGGAAAGGAGGGGAAGAAGAACAGGCCATGGATAATGAGGAGGAGCATGAATCGAAGATGCCTACGGCGAATCACCGCCGGCCCCCTGCCTTTGGAATCGCTCATGTGGCCGAGTGTTGCGGCAAGAGCTCCGCCAAGCTATCGTACTGTGTGTCCCCCCAGCCGTTGTGGAAACCCTTCGGGGAACACTTGGGGGAGGATGGCGGGGAGGATCAGGAGGAGGAGGAGGATGACGAGGAGGAGGAGGAGGTGGAGGGGAGGAGAAGGAGGAGGAGGAGGAGGAGGAGGAGGAGGGGGAGCAGGAGGAGGAGGAGCAGGATGAGGATGGAGGAGGAGGAGGAGGAGGAGGAGGAGGAGGAGGGGAGGAGGAGGAGGAGGAGGAGGAGGAGGAGGAGGAGGAGGAGGGGGCCGGGTCGAGGTCTCCTTTGGGTTGTTGTCGTCGTCGTCGTCGTCTGGTCTCGCTGCCGCCGCCGTCGTCGTTGTTCGTCTCCGCCGTCGTCGTCGTCGTCGTCGTCGTCGTCGTCGTCGGCCTCGTCATCGTCGTCGTGCTCGTTGCTTGTCGCCTCCCTTTGGGGCGGTGGCTTCCCCTCCCTGTCCCCCTCCTCCCCTCCTTCTCCTCCTCCTCCTCCTCCTCCTCCTCCTCCTCCTCTTCCGTCCTCCACTTTTTCTTCTTCTTCTGTTTCTTCTTATTCTGCTTCTTCTTCTTCTTCTTCTTCTCCCTTCTCCTCCCCCTCCTCTGCCTCCTCCTCCTCCTCTCCCACATGCCTCTAGTCGAGGAGCCGATCTTTGTAGGGCCCCCATGGCAGAACACATTGATTTTTCTATGGTCGTTGCTGGTTTAGGGGGGATTTTGTTTTTTAGCTTAGAACTGTCCAAAACGGCCCACGAGGTTCAACAAATCATCCCAAAACGGCCCAAGAAGCCCCCGAAAGGGCCCGAACAAATGTCAAAACGGGCTTCCCGACGGCCCCAGGGGGCCCAAAACGGCCCAACGGGGCCGCAAGACGGCCCAAAGAGAGCCCCAAGAGGGCCCAAAGAGGCTCGCAAGATTGCACGAAGAGGCCCCCACGAGAGCCCCAAGACGGCTAAAGGCCTCCAACACGCCACAAGTCTGCCTAAAAGGGCCCCAAGGCAGCCCAAAATTGCCCCACCTCGAGCCCAACACATTGATTTCCTTCGGGTTTTTGTGTGGTGTTTTGGTTCTCTCCTTTTCGGGCCCAGACGGGCCCAGCACGGCCCACGAGGCCCCCCAGAATTCAAAGGAGCCGAAAACGGTCCACGAGGACCCCCAGACGGCCCAAGAGGACCCCGCAACAGTCCGACATGGCTCCAAGACGGCCCCAAGAGAGCACCAAGAGGCGCGCAAGAGACTCCCAAGGAGGCCCACAGAGGCGGTATGGGGGCGGGGCTGCTTGGGTGTGGGGACTGGGCTGGCCCCAATGCTGCCCAAGGACCCCAAAACGACCCTCAAGAGGGCCCCCGAGAGGGCTTCAGGAAGCGAAGCATCGTATTTGCCTTGCGGTTGTTCAAGGTGTTTGGTGTTCTCACCTTTTCGGGCCCAGAAGGGCTTCAGACGGCCCAAGAGGTCCCACAGATCGTCCCCAGATAGCCCCAGAGGTCCCAAAAGGGATCGACAGCTGTCCAAGACGGCCCCCCCCGACTGCCCCAGAGGGCCCCACAACGGCCCAAGAGGGCCCCACGACGGCCCCACGAGAGCACCAAGATGGCCCCAAGAGGCTTCCAAGGAGGGCCCGAAGAGGCGGTGTGGGGACTGGGCTGTTTGGGTGTGGGGACTGGGCTGGCCCCAAGACGGCCCAAGAGCCCCAACACTGTTCAAACGGGCCACCAAAAAGGATCCCCAAGAGGCCCAAGAGACGCCAAGGAACACAATGGCTCCCCACGGCGAGCGCTGTCGTAAGAAGCTCTGAACACCAAGGCTCCCCAGAGCGCGGTGACGCACAACGCTCGTCACACCAAGTCTCCCAAGAGCGAGCGACAACGTCAAAGTCTCTGAACACCAGGGCTCCCAACGGAGAGCGGCGAGGTAACAAGCTCTTCACACCAAGTATCCCAAGAGCGACGGGTGCCATGAGCCTCTCGAGTTCCAAGAGGCTCCCAAGATGGCCCGACGAGGCGGTGTGGGGACTGGGCTGTTTGGGTGTGGGGACTGGGCTGGCCCCAAGACGGCCCAAGAGCCCCAAAACTATTTAAAAGGGCCACCAAAAATGATCCCCAAGAGGCCCCCAGAGACGCCAAGGAACACAATGGCTCCCCACGGCGAGCGGTGTCGTAAGAAGCTCTGAACACCAAGGCTCCCCAGAGCGCGGTGACGCACAACGCTCGTCACACCAAGTCTCCCAAGAGCGAGCGACAACGTCAAAGTCACTGAACACCAGGGCTCCCAACGGAGAGCGGCGACGTAACAAGCTCTTCACACCAAGGCTCCCAAGAGCGAAGGGTGCCATGAGCCCTCTCGGGCAAGTCCCTGCAACGCTCTTTCCTTTCCCGTGCTGACCCAGGTAACGGAAAAGGGCGAGGTACGAGTGATGACGTTCTTGTGTGGGGCGAAGCCCTTCAGGGAGGGGTCCAGGGGAGGGGCGAGGGCCGCGCGCAGGGGCGTTAATGGCCGCCGCGGGCGGTGTCCTTGTTATTTTCTAGTGAAGCGGCTCCCGGGCGGTTCCCATGGCCAGTTCCTTTTCTGTATTTTTCCGAGTGACGCGGCCCAAGGTCCCCAAGACGGCCCAAGAGGCTTTAAAACGGCCCGAGAGGGCACCAAGATGGCCCCAACGGCTCAAGCCGTTGTTGGCTCAAGTCGCGATTGCAGTCTCTCGAGCCACAAGTTTTGCCAGCATCAACCAGCACGCGCGAGGCACTGGCACCAATGACATCAAGTGACACCAACGCCCAATCGCGCTACAGCGGCGCCCTATTTCTCCTAGTTGCAGCTTATGTGCTCTGCGTCATAGCCGGCGCTGCCGGAGCTTACACTTGCGTCAACGACCAGGACTCCATGGAAGAGTTTGTTTATTGGTTGATGGAGGTTGCTGCCTACTCGCCTGTTAGTTTGATGGTGGCTTGGGTCTTGGCCAATCAGCGCCGCTTCAATTTCGATCTGCCCCTTCACAAGTGGACTTGGCGATATGGCATCACAAGCGCCCTAGTGGCTGGAACAGCTCCGTTTTTCCCGTGGCTCTTGTTGTGCCACCCTGGCTACCCCGAGCAAGTCGTACACACTGTCCACGGTAATGGGTACTTTTTCGGCAAAGTCGTGTCTTGGTTTCTCCTGGAGCATAAGCTCAGGGTACTCGGGAGTAAGCGGCTCGCGAATCTTACTCGAGTCTACGCGATCTGCAACGGAGTGCTTGTCCTTCCTACCACACTCATACTCTTCATGCCCGAGACGCTCTCTTTATCGCCATCGCAGAGCGACTTCCTCATGATGGCCATGTGGTTCGTAACCTTTGTCACGGGCGGCATGGCTTTCGGCATCACTTTCGGTTTTCTGGCGTTGCGCGCCGCGCGCGGGCTTCGCTCTTCCAACAAGGCCAAGAAGAATGCAGCAAAGTGGGTTGCTTTAACAGCAGTTGTTTTCATGGGCTCGTTCACAAGCTTCGGCGTAAGCACTTACTCGGTCTGGGCGTGGGGCCCCGGCCCCGGCTGGGTGGCGGCCTTTTTCGTCGACACCACGCTCGATTGCATCAGCGTGGTGGTCTTCTCAGGTCTCGTCGGGCCACCTGGGCTCCGGCGCTTGGCGCGCGAAGCGTTTTCGGCAATTAACACTTACGACGACGACCACCTGCAATCGTTCTACGAAGGTTACTTGAAGTATCTCGATGATGCGCAGATCAAATGGGTGCGGTGCGGCTTCTTGCGCCAGCTTGCCCAAAGTGGACGGTTGCTAATGCGCTGTCAGGACGTCCCGGCTTCCGAGAAAATCGTTGGCAGTGTTGGTTTTCCACGTTCTAGGACCGATCGGAAGGGCCGATTCGTGTGTTCACATCCTTGGCTCTCCAAGTGGCATCCAGACCCCGCTGGCGTGAAACTGCGCACACTTGTTGAACAGCTAGACAAGCTGAGCGCCTGCGACGACGATGCCGTCTTCATGGACTTCATCAGCATACCGCAACACGACTTCCAGAACCCCGAATTGCGATTGTTGGATAGCCAAGGTAGCTGGCCCATGCCAGGCACACACGCAGCCGTTCGCACTCTCGAAGAGGAAACCCTGTTCAGGAAGTCTCTCGGGTCGTTCGAGGTGATGTACAGCGTTAGCAGCACGCCCGTGATAGTCTTGCCAATGAGCGAGTGTCTGGATGAAGGCTCGTCGCCTTACATCAACCGTGGTTGGTGCTATTTTGAGTTTTGTTTGTCTTTGAGCTTCGAGAACATCATCAACGCCAACACCTTGCAGTCCGTTCGCAAGTTGTGCGACGACGTCAATGCAGAGGAAGGCGACACAGTTCAGGGGTTCCGCGTAGCTTTTTCAAGCAAGGTGTTCACGGAGAGCGGTGATAGGGATTTTGTCAAGAGTTTGTTCGAGAACACCTTGGCGCGTAAGGTGATCTAAATCGGATTACGAGTGTTGGCAGCGACGGTGCCGGCAGTGGCCGATGCCCACACGACAGCAGACCTTTGCATGGCATCACCGAACGCGCCTGGGGGCAGAGCCTCCTACATTCGAAAATCAGGAAGACATGCCTTGGTTCATCTGGCTCGCAAGTCCAATAATCCTTGCGGACTTCCAACATGCTGTTTTTGCTCGAGCCTCTGAGATGCCCAGATTAGTTTGTAGTGCAAGTTCGGGGGCAGGGACGTCACGATGAGAATGCGCCAGATCGGACGCAGTGCCAGGCCCATCGCATACGGGACAGATTTTCCAGTGCGGGACGTGCACGATGATTCGGCGACAGGCTTGGTTCCTGAGTGTACTTCTGGCGTGCCTGATCCATTTTGTGTGAGACCGTTTCTTTGCCTTTTTTATATATTATATATACATATGGGAGATCCCGGGCCCCGGGCCCCGGGCCGGAACCTCCCTTGTATATAGGGTGCGGCCCTCTCCCGGGGCGCCCTTCCGGCGGCCCCCGCGCGTTCCAGCCCGCCCAAGAGGGCTCCAGGAGCGCCGAGAGAACCCCAGGATCGCTTCAAGACCGCCCATGATCAGCCCTGACACACTTTTCACACAGGCACTCACACTGTCGCTCGTTTTGCTGGTCCCACGTTTCGATTATGTTGGCAATGCTGCTTATGGCGAGTGCACGTTTCGATTAGGGTGAGCACGCGTTTCGATTATGGTAAGCAATGTCGTCATTCGGTTTTCACTTTTTAGGCATGCCTAACATAGCCAATTTAGGATTTCAGGCATGCCTCTCTTACGCCCGCGTTGAGTCCGCAACCTCCATTTAGGCTTCAAAGCCAACACTACAGCTTGCGATGATATGCCCTTCCACTTAGTTCTCGCGCTTCCGATGTGCTGCCCGGCCGTCCACATAGCGCACATGGTCGTCACGCGTGGCGTGTTGCCGCTTGTTTGAATCGATGGCAAGCGTGTGCGCGCTTTTGTTGTTTTTCCGTGACCACGCGTTCAGCCGCTTGCCGATGGTGAACGGAGGAGTCGAGGGTGAGCAGTAGGGGGAGTGACATAAGAAGCGGGAGCAGTCGGTCGGTCGAGTAGGCAAGGGTCGGCCAGCCAGCGGGGGCGCCGGGTTGCGTGCCAGTTTTTTTTTGCCGGCGCTTCACGCGCGAGTCAGGCGCGGCGTGCTGCTGCTTGTTTGAATCGATGTCAAGAGTCAAGCGTGTGCGTGCCTCGACTCCGCGGAATTGCGTTCGGCCGTCTCCGTTGCAATCGGTGGGCGGAGCATGTCAGGGATAGCAGGAGGGGTGCTTCCGGAAGAAATCATACATGTAGGAGACGAAGGACAACAAGATGGGAGAAGGGGAACAGTAAAAGCAAATCCTGATCTTTCCAAGGGCTCGCCAGCGTGAGACGAGACTTGGTTGTCCCTCAGCGGCGCGGGCTCAATGAGCCGACAGCCGTCGCAGGCCTCTCACTTTAGCGAGCGTTCGCAGGTTCTGAACTCCTTGGCGCCCTGTCCACGAGCAGGTCGAGGCAGTTGCGCCCCCTCAGTGGACTGAACAGACCCGTGGAATGAGGATACAAAAAAAAAAGATGGCCCCAAGAGAGCCTCAGGTGGCCTCCAGACGATCCAAGATACCTTCGGGACGTCTCCAGAGACCCTCCAGAGGACCCTCGGGAGGGGCTCAGGAGAACATGTATTTCCCCAGGGGTTGTGAAGGTTTTTCTGGTTCTTACCTTTTCGGGCCCAGACGGGCCCAACACGGCCCAGGAGGTCCCAAAGCTCGTCCCAAGACGGCCACAGAGGCCTCGCAAAGGTGCCGAAAACGGTCCAAGAGGGCCTTTAGAGGGCCCAAGAGGGCCCCAAGACGGCCCAAGACGGCCCCAAGACGACCCCAAGAGAGCCCCAAGATGGCCCCAAGAGAGCCCCAAGGGCCCAAAGAGGCTCCCAAGACGGCCCCAAGAGGCCCCCAAGAGAGCCCCAAGACGGCCAAAGGCTTCCAAGACGCCCAAAGACTGCCCAGACGGGCCCCAAACCGGACCGAAATTGCTCCAAAAAGGCTCCCGAAGGGCTCCCAAATGGCCCCAAGACGACCCCGACGAGGCCCAAGAGACGCTCGAGAACGCCATGGCTCTCAGCAGCGAGCGGTGACGTAACTAGCTCTTGACACCAAGGCTCCCCAGAGCGCGGTGACGCACAACGCTCGTCACACCAAGTCTCCCAAGTCCCAGCGGCAACGTCAAAGTCTCAGAACACCAGGGTTCCCAACGGAGAGCGGCGACAGAACAAGCACTTCACACCAAGGCTCCCAAGAGCGAAGGGTGCCATGAGCCCTCTCGGGCCAGTTCACGAGGTGCGTTTTCCGTTTCCGTGCTGGCCCAGGTAACGGGAAGAGCGAGGTGCGAGTGATGACGTTTTTGTGTGGGGCGAAGCCCTCTAGGGAGGGGGGTCTAGGGGAGGGGCGGGGGGGGCACGCCCCGGCGTTAATGGCCGCTGGGGAGCCGCTTTTTTTGGAGTATTTTCTCGAATGAAGCAGCTCTCGTTTTTTTCACATGGAGCGGCTCCAGGGCTCCAAGACGGCCCAAGGGGGCCCCAAAACGACCCAAAGACGGCCACGAGAAGGCTTCGGCTGGCCTGCAGACGGTCCAAGAGAGCCTCGAGACGGCCCCAGAGGGCCTCCAGGGGGCAGTCGAGACGGCCTCAGGAGCCCACAAACACAACTTCCATATGGGTTGTGAAGGTTTTTCGGGTTCTCGCCTTCTCGGGCACAGACGGGCCCAACACGGCCCACGAGGCTCCAAAGCTCGTCCCAAGACGGCTCCAGAGGCCCCCCAAAGGGGCCTCTGGAGGCCCCCCAGGCGGCCTTAGAGGGCCCCCAAACAGCCGCAGAGGGTCCCAAGAGAGCCTCCGATGGCCTCCAGACGGTCCAAGAGAGCCTCAAGACGGCTCCCGAGGCCTTCCAGAGGGCCCACGAGAGGGCCCCTAGGGGCAAAACATAATTATTGATGTTTCTTTGGTTGTTGCAGGTTTTGGGGGTTCTTGCTTTTGTCGGTCCAAGAACGGTCCAAGACGGCCCATGAGGTCCCAGAGCTCGTCCCAAGACGGCCCCAGAGGCCCCCCGAAGGGGCCGAAAACAATCCAAGAGGGCCCTTAGACGGCGCAAGAGGGCCCCGCAACAGCCCCAAAGAGAGCCCCAAGACGGCCCCAAGAGAGCCCCAAGAGGGCTCCAAGAGAGCCCCAAGAGTGCCCAAAGAGGCTCCCCAGAGGGCCCCACGAGGCCCCCAAGAGAGCCCCACGACGGCCAAGTCCTCCAAGATGCAACTCGACGGTCCAAACGGGCCCCAAACCGGCCCAAAATTGTTCCAAAGGGCTCCCAGACGAGGCCCAAGCTCAAGAACGCCATGGCTCGCAGCAGCGAGCGGTGACGCAACAAGCTCCTGACACCAAGGCTCGCCAGAGCGCGATGGCGTACAAAGCTCGCCACACCAAGGCTCCCAAGAGCGGGCGACAACGTCAAAGTCACTGAACACCAGGGCTCCCAACGGAGAGCGGCGACGTAACAAGCTCTTCACACCAATGCTCCCAAGAGCGAAGGGTGCCATGAGCCCTCCCGGGCAAGTTCCTGAGGCGCTCTTTCCGTTTCCGTGCTGGCCCCAGGTAACAGAAAGAGCGAGGTACGAGTGATGATGTTAGGCTTTGCCCTCCCTAGAGGGCGAGAGCCCTCTAGGGAGGGGGGTCCAGGGGATGGGGCGAGTGGGGCACGCGTACGTCCAATGGCCGCCGGGGGCCGTTCCCTGTTGTATCTGTTCGAAGGTAGCGGCTCCCAGGCAGCTCCCTCGGCCCGTTTCCTGGAGTTTTCTTTTCCGAAGAACGGAACGAGCGAGGTACGAGTGAGGTATGTTCTGGTGAGGAGGGGGGGTGGGGAGGAGGAGGAGGAGGAGGAGGAGGAGGAGGAGGAGGAGGAGGAGGAGGAGGAGGGGAGGAGGAGGAGGAGGAGGGGAGGAGGAGGCGGAGGAGGAGGAGGAGGAGGAGGAGGAGGAGGGAGGAGGAGGAGGAGGGGAGGAAGAAAGGAGAGGAGGGGGCATCTTGGGAGCCTCCTGGGGCACTCTTGGGGCCTCCTGGGAATTTCCTGGGAGCTTTTTGGGGGCATCTGGGGAGTCTCCTTGGGCCTCTTGGGGGCTTTGGGGGGGCTTTTCGGGGCCCTCTTGGGGTGTTCCAGAGCCGTCTTGGAGGCCCCCTTGGGCGTCTTGGAGGCCCCTTGGGCCCTGTTGGGGCCCTCTTTGGGCCGTCTTGGGGCATCTTGGGGCTGTCTTGGGGGCCTCTTAGGCCGTTCTGGGGCCATCTTGGAGGCCTCTCGGGCGATCTTGGGGCGATCGTTGGGGGCTCTTGGGCCGTCTCGGGCCGTCGGAAGGCCGGAAAGAAGCAAATATCAACATCCTTCAAACACCTTGGGACAATTAATGATTTGGGCCTCTTCGGGCCTTCGGGCCTCTTGGAGGCCTCTTGGGCCGCCTTAGAGGTCTCTTGGGGACCTCTTGGGGGCCTCTTGGGCCATCTTGGGAAATCTTGAAGGCCTCTTGGGGGCCTCTTGAATCGTCTTGAGACATCTAGGGGCCCTCTTGGGCCATCCTGGAGTACCGTCTTGGGCAAACTTGGAGGCCTCTTGGACCCTCTTGGGCCGTCTTGGAGGCCATCTTGGACCATCTTGGGCGAACACTTACAGACCATCTTGGGCATCTTGGAAGCCATTTAGAGCCATCTTGGAGCCATCTGGACCAGAAAACCTTTGCCATCGGGTCGTCCGCAGGGCCGGCGCGCTGGGCCAGAGCTCCAGGGGAGACTTGTAATTAGCCTGGCGAAGGACCCAACCATCTGCAGTTGTGAGCACCGTCTTTGTATGCAACGCATTCGGAGGAGTTCCCTACAAGGCCACGAAACGTGTGAGCGGTGTGCCAAAATTTGTCTGGTGGGCGCATGCGAAAGCAGCTACTGGGGCCGTCTGTGAAATTCCTTATGGGGCCACGAACCGCGTGAGAGGTGTGCCGAAATCGGTGCGGTGGGCGCATGCGAACGCAACCACTGGGGCCGTCGGTGGAGCTCCCTATGGAGCCGCGAAACGTGTGATGGGTGTGCCGAAATGAGTGCGGTGGGCGCAAGCGAACGCAGCCCCTGGCGCCTTCGGTGGAGCTCCCTATGAGGCCACGAAGCGCGTGAGGGGTGTGCTGGAATGTGCGTGGATGACGCATGCGGGCGGTGGCACGGGGGCCTTCGTTGGAGCTCCCTATGACATATGTGTGGGTGACGCATGCGGGCGGTGGCTCTGGCGCCTTCGGTGGAGCTCCCTACTTGGCTCCAACAAGAGTTTCTCCTTGGAAGCTCGCAACATGAAATGTATGCGTGCACGCCAATCGGGGAGATGAATTGCTGCGCGCGAGTGCTGAGCGCTCGCGCGCGCGAGATCCCAAGACGCCCCCCATGGCTGCAGCATGGTTCCATGAGGGCCTGTGGCCAAGGGCGATAACGCCCAGCCGGCCCTGGGGTGACGCCACCCCAGGACGATTCCGTCGTGGATTCTGGACCTTCGCAGGCCGACCCGAACATGACCCAACAATGGGGCCACGCGTGACGCCGAGATGGCCCGATGGCAGCAGCATGGATCCACGCGCGCCCGGGGTGGCCCCAGAATGGACACGCGACGGCTGCGCGACCCAAGCATGACCGAGATATGATCTCAAGGTGACCTCAACACGACCCTGACGCGCCAAGACCGCTACAACTTCGGGGCCCAAGCTTACTTCGAGCCGATCCTAGCATGGCGGGATCCGTGAACGACCAGGGATATTTGTTTACCCCATCTTTGCTGGGTGGGATTTTAGCCTGGCTGAACTACAATTATAACGCTAAAGGGGAATAATTTAGGCGGGATCCCGCCAGGTCCATGGCAGAAGACTACATTGCTAGGCTTCTACGGGGGGGAGGGGGGCTCGGACGGGGCGTCATTCACTCCCGCTGTCTTCTGCGAACCTTCCGACGGCCTTCCGCCGTCTTCCGCCTCGTTTTACTTCCGTCGGCTTCCGCGAGCGAGCGATGTGACGAAAATTCAAAGAACTTTCATTGGGCCGAACGACACGCGTGAGGGGTGTGCCGGAAGCCTTCGGTGGAGCCCCCTATGGGGCCACGGAGCGTTATGCTGGGTGGTGGTTGACGCATGCGGGCGGTCCCATTGGGACCTGCGGTGGAGCTTCCTATGGGGCCACGAAGCGCTGTACTGGGTGGGTGGAACGCAGGGAGGAAGGGCTGTGCTGGGTGGTGGTTGACGCATGCGGGCTGTCCCACTGGGACCTTCTGTGAAGCTCCCTATTGGGCCACGAGGCGCTGTACTGGGTAGTGAAACGCAAGGGGTGACGGGCTGTGCTGGGTGGTGGTTGACGTATGCGGGCGGTCCCACTGGGACCTTCGGTGGAGCTCCCAATGAGGCCACGAAGCGTTGTACTGGGTGGGTGAAACGCAGTGAGGAAGGGCTGTGCTGGGTGATGGTTGACGCATGCGGGTGGTCCCGTTGGGACCTTCGGTGGAGCTGCCAATGGGGCCACGAAGCGCTGTACTGGGTGGGTGAAACGCAGGGAGGAAGGGCTGTGCTGGGTGATGGTTGACGCACCCAGGCGGTCCAACTGGGACCTGCGGTGGAGCTCCCTATGGGCCATGCCTATGGGGCCACGAAGCGCTGCACTGGGTGGGTGAAACGCAGGGAGGATGGGCTGTGCTGGGTGGTGGTTGACGCATGCGGGCGGTCCCACTGGGACCTGCGGTGGAGCTCCTAATGGGGCCACGAAGCGTTGTATTGGGTGGGTGAAGCGCAGGGGAGGAAGGGCTTTGCTGGGTGACGGTTGACGCATCCAGGCGGTCCAACTGGAATCCTTGGGTGGAGTTCCCTATGGGGCCACGAAGCGCTGTACTGTGTCTGTGAAACGCAGGGAGGAAGGGCTGCGCTGGGTGGTGGTTGACGCATGCGGGCGGTTGACGGGAGGAGGGAGGAGGGAGGGGACGAGGGAGGAGGAAAGAAAGCGGGGACCGTGTCTTCAAAACGAGGACCCAACACCACAGGATGGTGGGAGAAAAACCAACACTCAATCCAGTAGGGTTCAGCACGCCAGGCACCCTTGTGGCAAGACCACAGGGGGTGGCGGATCGAAGACGCCTACGGCGAATCACCGCCGCCCCCTGCCTTTTTGGAAGTGCCAGCGTGGCCGAAAGTTGGGTTTGAGCTTGGCCAAGCTATCGGGCCACGCGTTCCCCGAGTGGGTTTCGAACGCCTTCGGGGAACACCGTGTCGGGCGAGCTATGGGACCAGGTGGTTTCCGATCTTTCGGGCCTCCTGGAGGACGTCTTGGAGGGGTCTTGGGCCGTCTTGGAGGCCTCTGGCGGAGTCGAAGCCATTTGGGGCCGTCTTGGGTGCATCTCTGGGCCATCTTGGCCGTCTTGACGGCCATCTTGGGCGTCTTGGAGGCGTCTTCGAGGCCATCTTGGCCGTCTTGGAGGCCTCCTTGGGCGTCTTGGGGGCTTCGTGGGCCGTCTTGGAGCCTTGTTGGGGCTCTCTCGGGGGCCTCTTGGGCTGTCATGGGGCCATCTTGAAGGCCTCTTGGGCGCTCTTGGGTCGATGTTGGGGGCCCCTTGGGCCGTCTTGAGCCGTCGGAGAGCTGAAAGGAAAAACATGCCGAAATCCTTCAAACACCATATGACAATCAAAAACTTCGGCCCTCTCGGGCCTTTCTGGAGGACGTCTTGGAGGGCTCTTGGGCTGTCTTGGAGGCCTCTTGCGGGCCTATATGGCCGTCTTAGGCCATTTTGAGGCCATCTTGGGCCGTTATGGGTGCATCTTTGGGCCATCTTAGCCGTCTTGACGGCCATCTTGGGCGTCTTGGAGGCATCTTCGAGGCCATCTTGGGCGTCTCGGAGGCCATCTTGGGCGTCTTGGGGACCTCTTGGGCCGTCTTGGGGCCTTGTTGGGGCTCTCTCGGGGGCCTCTTGGGCTGTCATGGGGCCATCTTGGAGGCCTCTTGGGCGCTCGTGGGTCGATGTTGAGGGCCGCTTGGGCCGTCTTGGGCCGTCGGAGAGCTGAAAGGGATGACATGCCCAAATCCTTCAAACACCATAGGACAATCAATGACTAAAATCCTGTCGGGCCTTCCTGGAGGACCTCTTCGAGGCCTCTTGGGCCGTCTTGGAGGCCTCTTGGGGGCCTTTTGGCCAGTCTTGGGCCGTCTTGGGTGCATCTTGGGGCCATCTTGGTCGTCTTGGAGGCCATCTTGGGCGTCTTGGAGGCATCTTGGAGGCCATCTTGGCAGTCTTGGATGGGGCCGTCTTGGGGGCCTCTTTGGCCGTCCTGGGGCCGTCCTTGAGGCTTCTTGGGCACTCTTGGGGCGATCTTGATGGCCTCTTGGGCAGTCTTGGGCCGTCGGAATCCGAAAAGGAGCAAAAGCCAACATCCTTCAAAAACGTTTGGAACATCAGTGATTTTGACCTCTTCGGGCCGTCCTGGAGGACCTCTTCGAGGCCTCTTGGGCCGTCTTGGAGGCCTCTTGGAGGCCTCTGGGGCCGTCTTGGGCCGTCTTAGGTGTTTCTTGTGGGAACTTGGAGGCATCCTGGACTCGCTTGGGCCGTCTTCACGGCCATCTTGGACCATCTTGGGCGAACTTGGAGGCCATCTTGGGCCATCTTGGCCATCTTGAAGGCCATCTTGGAGCCGTCTGGAGCCGAAAAACCCTTTGCAACCACCTTTTATGCACTCTGCGCGCCCTTCGGGTGGCTGGCGGGACGGGCCGAAGCCCCAGGGGGAGTTCTAAAAGAACCAAACTGGAAAGGGTCCAGCACGCTGGGCACCCCTTTGGCACGCCAACAGGGGGCGGTGGATCCAATAGCTTGCGGCCCATCCCGCCACCGTGCCTGGGTTGTGGGGGCTCTTTTGGGGACTTCGCGGGGGTCGTTGGGGACTTTTCAGAGGCTCTGTTGGGCTTCTCGAGGGCGTCTTGGGCTTCTTGAGGGCATCTTGGGGGACCTGCTCGCGGTCTCGGGCGTCCGCTTCAGGCGGGAAGTTCGAACTGTCATATTCGTTTCCTTCTCTGGGGCCCGTCATGGATGGGCCACGCGCAGAGGGGGGTAGGGGGAGGGGGGGGGGCTTCTTAGAAGCACCCCTGCTTCGTAGAAGGCGCGGGCCGTATCTACAGATGTAAAGCCGGCGCCTTCTAAGAAGCAGCCACTTTCTAAGAAGCCTTCCCCCTTCCCATTACCACCCTCTGCGCGCCGCCAAATGGAGCCCCCTTGGGGCCGTCTTGGCCGCCTCTTGGGCCGTCTTGGGGCCCTCGTGTGCCGAGGGGGGGCCTCTCTTAGGGGGGCCTGTGGCCCCCTCCCTGGAGCGGGTCTGGGGCCTTCCCGTGCCGTCATGGACGCTGTGAAAGCACAGCAGGCGTATATGCCAAACACGTACGTTTTCCGGAGGGAATGATGGAAGAAGGAACAAGCGCCGTAAACATACACTTTGGCGCTCCGCGCAGATTTCTTGGATCCGCGTTGGGCCCCCCCCCCTGGCGGCGCCTCTGGCGCCGCTTCTGGCGCGCCCCGCGCGCCCCGCAGTTCCAAGGAATCCGTGCGGAGCGCCAACAATATTGTTTATGGCGTTTCTTTTTGTTTTTCTTTCCCCCCTTTTTTTTTTTTTTGTTTTTTTCTGAATGAGGCGGTTTTTACTTCTGCGAGCTCTTTGGGAGGAGCTGTACAGCTGTCTCGGAGCGTCTTGGAGGCATCGCGAGCCGTGTTGAAGCCGACTTGGGCGTCTGGGAGTGATGTTCCTGGGACTGGGCGCCCCTCTGCGACTGGCTTGGGAGCCTCTGGGGGGGTCTCTCAGTCCCTCGTGGGGCTTTCAGAGGAGTCTGGAGAGCGGCGACCACCCCCCTCTGTGGAGTCCACCCAGCGGTTGTGCTCGGCTGGGGGGAGGGTGACATGCCCGAATTGGACCCCCGGACCCCCAGGGGGCCGGCGGATTCGGCCCTCCTTCTGGTGGTCGCTCGATGCCCGCCCAGGCACGCTTCTGGAGCTCCTGCGGGGCTACTTCAGGGAGCCGGTCTCCGTGGCCTCCCTGCTGGCCTTCGGGCTCCTCACGCTCGGCCCGGTGAGGTTGCGCGACCAGGGGGTCTGGGGGGAGGCCGTCGGTCGTTTGGCCACGTGCTGCACGCCATCGATATTTCTTCTCATCGGCGTGAAGCTGGAGCGCCCCCAGAGTCGGCATGCTGGGCTCTTCGCTCTGATGGTGGCGAGGAGTGGCTTTGCCTTCCTCTTCGTGTGGGTCTTGAACGGGGTGCTCGGGCTGGGCAGGGCGGAGCTCATGCTCTGGCTCTTCTTCTGCAACTCCGCGGTCAGCTTCTGGCCCTATACCCATATCGTCGGCGTGACCCAGCGGGAGGAGAAGGCGTGTCTCGGTCACTTGCGCGGCCGCCTCCTTGCACTGGAGCGTCAGTTTGCCCAGCGAACGAGCGACTGCCCCAGCGAGGCTGGGAATGCCACCAGGGGCGGCGCATCCAAAGCGGGGCACAGCAATCAAAATGAGCCGCGGGGTGCCGACATCGTCAAGACGCTCCGTGACCTTCGGCAGCACGTGGAGGGGCATCCCGGCGAGCTCTCCGAGGCGCTGCAGATGTGCCGCGACAGGCTCGCCGAGGACCCCGAAGTGGTGGAGAGTCTGGACCTGCCCGCTCTCGGCGAGGCGCTCTTGACCTTCGACCTTCCACTGGCCGTGATGACCGTGACCGTCTCGTCCATCTGGACCGTTACCCTCCTCGCGGCCATGTCTCTGACCCCCGAGGCCTTCTGGCGGACCGACTACTCCATCCCCGCGGTGGGCGCAGGGTTTTCAGGAGGGGAAAAAACACAGACACAATTCATCGCCGATCCCCAGGAAACTATGGGAAAATATGGGAAGTGCGGGGGAAGACAAGAGCCCAGAAAATATTGGAAAACATAGGGAATCCTGCTATTTGTGTGTATTTATTTGTGTGTCCCAGGGCCCCTTCAGGTTTGTGTTGATTGGCACCTCC